GTTTTTGGGGGTTTTATGTTGTTGTTGGGCAGGTTTTCCTGGTGAGGTATTTTCAGGTTTGTTTTTTTTTTATTCTTAGGACTGAAGTTATGCTCTTCCATATCATTTTAAGAGAAAGGCAACATGTTAAACTAGTGAATGCAAAACCTTTCACAGAAAATTAATCAAGATGCTTACTCAAACTTTCAGACTGGAGTGCATCAGCAAACCTGATGCATGTCAGAATGCCTGAATGAAAAAAAAAAAAGAAAAAAGCCCCATCCTCATATCACAGCAAATTCTCTGCTACAGCACTGTATCCACTCCTGCAGCCTGTGATGGAGATTCGACACGCAATTGTCCTGTGTCAACCGAAGAAGTTACCCTGTGGCAAGCACAACTTGAAACAGTCAATCCATGTCCTCTCAGGAGGCAGCAAATGCAAAGCTGTACAACCTGCCTCATCACTCATGCTAAGATATGATGAATTGCCTTGTACTTGCTACATGCTAAGAGGAGACATATAGTTACCTTGGTTCATGTGATGCCCAGTAACTTGATTAATGAAACAACCTGGTCATGGTTCTGAAAACATCAGCAATTTGTTGTTGTTGGTCAATGACCGCCAAGATATTTTGCTCTATGGATATTCTATTTGGTCATAAACGATAAGGAATTTCCTCTTCACATACCCATGTCTTTAATGGTTTCTCCTGGTAGCAAAGGTGGCTCTTCCATTTCAGCCAATTTATTAGTCTCCCTCAAGACCTAGGCAAAAGACACGAGGTAGAAAAAGAAATTCATTACGTTTTCATAAACCAAGAAGTTTACCCTTACCTGCAATGGGTCAACAACATCCAGGACAACAAATATTCAAAGATCTTGAGGTACTGCCTAGTGTCTCAGCCTCTGAAAGGTCAACACAAAGCATGTGAAATACCTCCACGCAGTCCTTGAGCATACCATTGGGCCACGCACAAGTGCTTAAGCAAGGATGTCTGCGATGGAGAAGCCGTTCGAAGCAGGCTCTGTGCTTTGGCAGCACACTTCCCAGGTGGCTGCCTTTCATGCTCTAACCTTCTCCTCCTCAACCCATCATCACGAGTCAAACTCTCTGTCCACACAGTTACACACAGAATCAAAAGGATCGGTTCCTTTCCACGTTGAAGTGATCAACTGTTACCATGATGCTATAAACTACTAAGTAGAACAATTTCTAGTTTACACGGAGGAAAGTTAAAAGGGACACCTTGTCACACCACTGTCTTCAATGAGGTCCAACTTTCCTCCACTTTCCCTTGGGATAAAGTTATACCACTTTTCACAGACATGACTGCATTTACACAAGGGTTTTCACAAGAACTGATGGACATTTTAGGAAAGCACGGCTGAAACTACGAAAGCATAACCTGAGGTCTAAACCTATGGTAAGAACTAGGGGAGATGAGCATATGTAAGTGACCAACATTAAGGCTAAGTCTATGTGGCCAAACGCAGATGGATTTAATCATATTGCCCATGCCTTGAACTAGCCAAATGACCACAACCAGAGCAGCACACCAGTTGCTTGACCTAATAACGCAGACAGAGAGCAGGTAAGTTAGTCCAGACTCTGCCTCATGCTGTAGCAACCACAAGACCTTGGGTTTGAAGTTGGGAGTGCATCCCACCTGGTGGAGATAGGCAGAGAGGGCTCATGTCTGCTCAGAGCTGAATGTGCAGACTCACAAAAAATGCTTTCTTTATCTTAATGCAAGGAAAGATAAAGAATTGTTTTAATTTGATACTAGGAAATCCCTGCAAAGAAAATTCAAAGACATGGCGTAAAGTGGCACTGTAGAACCTGACATACCTGTGGTCAACTTTCATGTAGGAGCAAGCCAGAGGGAGAGCCTCAGGGAAGAAAAATTCTCTAAACTATGCAAAAAAATGAAAACAAAACCCAAAGAAACCCCATGACACAATAAAAGTACATTCCAGTATTTTCACACAACAGATTGACGTATAGATGAAAAGATTAACAAGATCAAAGCCTTCTTGAGAACAAGATGTACATTTTAAAAAATCTATTCAAAAGACTCTTAAAAAAAAAATAATAAAAACAAGTACAGTCCTGGCCGCATAACAGGAACCTCACAACTGCACCCACTTAGGCGGGCTCTTACCAGGGAGGTTGCCAGAGCAGCTGGACTGGGACCTACAGGATGGGTAAAGAGAGGTCACCATTGACAGAGCTCACACTGGCAGCACTAAACTTGCAGGAAAGCTTCTCCCCCATGTCGACAATATCAGTAAAAACAAGGTTTTGGGACCTCTTGTCAGCACAGCCGTGTTGGCCAAAGATCACACACCCCATCAAAGCCCTGACTGATGGCCTCCTTGACAAAAGCCTCTGATATAGACCCGCTCTCAACTCCTGTGTGTCGATTTTTGCGCTTGAGTAACAGTCTTGAAATTAGCAGGATAACATCTGGATTATGCCAAATGAGATGGAAGCTTCCAGCTAATTAGTCCGTAAGTGGTGGTCATCTTTGTGGTCTTTTATCTTGGAAGGACATTAGTAAACATACACTCTGCGTTCAGGATACACTCACAACTTCGTGGAGAAGGTCCGTACCCCAAACGGGCAGCAGCTGCTGCTAGGATCACTTCAGTCAACAGCTGGACTCGCTGCTCTCCTGCGGATGTCAGCGGGAGCACGTCCAGCAGTAAACATTTGGAGGACTGGGCTATATCTTAAGCCAAAACAAATCTGAGGTAAGATATATAGAAAGCATTTGGTATGACAAGCAGCTGCCATGATCAGTAGGTGGGCAGTGCTCAGGTGGCTTTTCAACACTGTACTGCACGTGGGGGAGAGAAGCAGGGAAGAGGCAAGCAGTACGAAAGACACAGACCTCCATGTCAACACCATTCTGCTAAAGACAAGGTTGAGAGCTTTTTCAGTTTAAAAACTGGCTCTTCTAAGTCTAATAAAATCCATCTGCTCACTCACACTCTCTGAAATGTGGAGTCCCCGGGGTCAGAGGAAAGGATTAGCGATCCAAACCTGCGCTCACTTCAACACGGGGCAGCAGATGGATGGCCTCTTGGAAGCACAGCACTTCAAGGTCAACAGCTTCTGCCCCATTGCCTCCTCTTCCCCTCTTTTTTTTCTTTTTTTTTTTTTTTTGTAGAGTTGAGGACTAAACTGTCCTTTCCCCCATCCTCCAACTGACCTCAGCCACATCACCTGCCCCCAGTGAGGCAGCACCGCCTGGCTTCATGACGATTTCAAAGTACATCACCCTTGAATGACAGTCACCCTTCCCCAGAGGCTGAGACAGACGTGGTCAGAAAGCCCAGGACAAACACTCCTCTGGTGTGCCGGTCTTTGCAGCATCTGCCCAGCTCTAGACCTTGAATGAGCCTCCTAGTTGGAACACGAACACTTGAAACTCGTCCTGGTAGAAACCAAGAAATGAATGGTAGGCATTTTCCTGAAATCTGCCTCTATCAATGGCTCCTTAAAATTGATTTGGGGAAATGCAATCTGTGTGCAACTGACAATGCAGGCAGCAGGCACAGGAGAAGACATCTGGGGCAGCACTAAAGGACAGGGGGTGGCAGGAGGGAGGAAAAGTGGGTGGATAAGGAAAGAGGAGTTTTGGAAACAGTTCAAGGGGGAAGAATGGGATGAGACAATGCATATGGGGCTCTGAGAGGATGCTACCACCATAGATGGACCCTTTGCCCCTTATGAGACTAAGGAGATGACATGAAAAGCCCTTCCATCTTATTGCCATCCTCCCCTCTCCCTCAAAATCAAAAAATGGTTCAGTAAACTGTGAGAAAAATCTTTTTTTGTACATTAGCCTATTTTCAAGACTCTAAAAATAACACTCCCGGGCCTTGATTTAGCCCTCTGCAAATCTTGCAAAATGAAATGAAGAGCTCCAGCGAGGCACGGAAGCAGGCAGGGGAGCCAGGGAAACAACTGGGGCAGCCCGGCTGCAGGAGAGTGACGGCTGGCTACCAACGCATTAACACTGTTGAGGTAGGTACCACATACACCTGTAACTGAAATGTTCCACCTCTGTGTGCCTCAAGTTTTCAAATTGTTCGGTGGGAACAAAAACAAAGAGCGCTTAAAAGATCTGCAATGAAGGTTGCAGCCAGAGCTGGGCAGAATCAGCTTAGGAAAAGGGGCACATTGACGCAGAGCCACGTGCTGGCCGTATCTGTCACAGCCATCCCTACGGTGGTTTCTGTAAGAAACAAATACAATCACCAAAAATCGGCAGACTACTTTGCCTTGCTCTAAGCCAAAGAAGATCTTTGTTACTTTTTCTCCACAAAAGTGTTACGGTAACTGAATCCTGGAGGAATGAAGAGTTTAGTTACAAACCAGAATAACGTTTATTTCTCTCTTCTTTTACCAAGTAACATCATCTACCCGTTCCACCCATCAGCAGCACTCCCTCTAGATAAAACAGCTCTCTGGGATGCTGAGCATGGGAGTACCTTAGCACCTAAACACAAGTCCTGCCTCAGCTCAGAGAGGGTGTGAGGACTTCATGCCACCACCTACCTTTGTTCTCTGCTCAAGCAGCGACTTGGCAGAACAAACCCACACTTGCTACATTTAACAACCGCTTCTCTTACTCCGGGATCCCACCTGGTGTTAGCTCCAACCCACTTACTCATGGCTGAAGGTGCAGAGCTCTCTCATGCTCTCCCACCAATATATCATTCAAGGCAGGGAAACCCTGATGCTGTATTATTGACACGACCTCCAGATCTCAGCAACAAAACTATTGTCTCATTTGCTTGCAGGTATAGGGTTTAGATGCTGCTAAAAGGGTATGGCTGCTCTTTGCCTCATCCCTTACCTCCTCATACTGTGATTCAGGGTACTGCAGTTCTGCCAAGCCTCTCCAACCACATGTTCACGCTGCCTCCTAACACAGCAGCCAGCATGCTGCTCCAAAAATCCCTCTCCCGATTGATGTCCCCGCACGACTCACGCATCCCGAGCGGCTAGAGCCAACTCAGGGTGGTACAGGGTTACACTGCACCTTGAGTACAGGGTCTCAGAGGTCTGCGTACGGCTGAACGCTGCTCCAGAAGGACCTGAGAGGGGACAAGAAACTCTTTACTGAGGCTTTACTTTTGCCTGTGAACAGAACAACTGATACATTTTCCCCTTGTATCGCCTGCAAGGACAAGAATGTGTGCATTGTACATGTGCGTGTGCAAGAATATACACGTAGAATTAGCAGATTTTAAAAATACGTAGCTTTTCAAATTATGACTGAAATACAGATCTGAAACTTCACAGCCAAGCAAAAGGGTTTATCTCCTACAGGAAAATATTTGTCTGATACTTGACATTTTAATGGACTAACTGGGAATATTCTGCTTGTAGTTAGCATATCTACACTTCCCTCCTTCC